GGGGCATCGGCTGATTTTTCGCAATCGTTTATTTTGAAACTTGCCAAGCAAATCTTGAAAATTCATACACATCCACAAAGAAAAATTCAATAACTCCCCAACCAGTTGGAGTAGCAACCTCAAATTTGTACACAGTGCAAACACTGAAGACAGCAATATATAGACGGAATTTCACTTAACCGCCTCTGAAGGTGCAAGTCACTTGAGCCAGCAAAACGTCCGCTGGAAAAAAATATTTTCGACGCTCTTTAGAAGCCTGAAATCGTCAACAGTTTCTTCATTAGTCTTCGTTATTGATTGGTATTCAGATCAAGTTTGAGTGCGTGAAAAACAGAACGAATAAACTGGTTCTTAACGATAATGTCCCTGTTCTAAATCAAGTTAGGGTTAATGGCGCCAATAAACAAATTGTCTGCTAATTAAACAGTTGTTTTAAAAAGCACACCCTGATGTTCCATCGACACCGAATCGCATTAATTTTGTGTGTAATAATGTGTTAGGGTTAATTACAGTTTTCTCTAGGGGATTTCGCTAATGAATAGCTCAATTCCCTGTGTGTTTCTTCGCGTTGAAGTAAGACGATCCCCCACACAGTCGACCCTCGAACTGCATATCGGGGTCTGTTTATCTGGAAATCCTGCGGAATGGTGGTGATTTATTGAAGCACCCCCTCACTATTGCGTCAACATTCATATAGCTGGGGGGGTTGAAAGTGCGCTCTGCACGCAACACTTTTAGCCCCCTCAAACACACATGGTGTTTGTGTTTCACTCCAACTGCGTTTAATTCGTTTTGTTGACCTTAACCCCAAAGAATGAATCAATGTAAGAGTTGCCACCATCGGGCAATAAAATATTTATTAAAACTGAAAGGCGCTTGTTAATTATTCCGCAGGGTCGAGGACAATTTACCTGTCGTGGCTGGGTTTCAAGTCCTCAGGTGGATCGATCGTCAATTTTTTACAATTTATTGATCCAATCAGATCTTGTGTCCAGCTGGTCAATTGGCGTGGCAATTTACGTGTTGATTTTTTGGCTTTTCACACCATTTTCTGTGATTGAGGCGAAGCCTTTGAGGTTGCAGCGGTTTTTTCCCCCGCCACTGGTAATATTACATTTGGGCGTTTTCTACTCAAAAAAGCGCTCKTAGYCTAAAGCTCGAATGGCTGTCGTTTTAGAGAAGAATTGCGTTTYCYAATRAAAACCGCCAATTTGCTGCTTAAAAAATAATCCTGCTCAGCCCGAAATAAACCCAAAATTTCTGAGCTGCGCCYCTTTTTTTGAACCAGATCAATTTGCTTCTTTACATCCCCCGGTATAAAGTATGACCTTTTGATTGCTTGCATGAGGTAGAAAATTGATTTTTCCCATCTGAGGCCGAGAATGATTTTAAAAGATCGATGCCTGAAACCTCACGTTACGTGCATTGTTTTACCGATTGGGCCAGTTAAACCTAAATGCTACTTTTACAGCTAATCTAGTAATAATTGGTCAAAGGTAATGAGAGAGACGACAACAATATGCAGATTTTGTGCAGGATTATTCAGTTGAAAGCTGTTTTTGCGACGTTAAATTGCGTTTAAACACCCAGCTGTTGGGAGCCAAATTGTTTAAGTGGTCAATTTGCGTTTGATGGTGGGGCGTTTGGCAATGCAATTGGTCCAATCGGAGCAAGTAAATTTACAGTGTGGTAATTTGAGTTTTTTTTTGTTTCAGAACAGTAAATGGCTGGGATCCCCTCATTAGTCGGCCCTCATGTTCGACCCCCCAGTCCCCCCTTGATTCCACAGCGGCGTCCACCTCCATTCCAAATTCCTCTCCCCATTTGTACCACAAGCTTTTTTAGCATAACCACGCTATCGAACGTTCGTTTAAAAAAAAATTCGCATTAACCCGAAAGACTTTTCTTGTTGAACTTGTCGTTGTTAGTAACTTATTTTTGGTACACCCCCCAACTTCTACCTCTCGCATTTTTTGAGGCGTTGAACCCGTTTTTGTATTACTTTTTACTTGATTTTAGCGTAAGTTTACTCCTTAAGTGGCCTTATTCTATACCTGATAGTTTTTAGTCGTCTGGAGATTTAGAGATTGTCTCTGTGTCAGTGCCTTTATACATTTAGGGTCTTTGAGCGGGCTGGAACCGCTCAGTGAGGCCGCAGAACACTTGTTTCCTCAATTTCTTGCCATAATCCTTTCCCACTGTCCCAACTATACTGGGCTTGAAAATGGGCGAACGACGTTCCTTTAGAGTATCGCGACGATCTCAACTTGCCGGTAAGTTTTCAGGTTTTTTTTACATCTGGAAGAAGTGAAGAATTTTACCCAAATTGGGGCATCGGCTGATTTTTCGCAATGGTTTATTTTGAAACTTGCCAAGCAAATCTCCAAAATTCGTACACATCCACAAAGAAAAATTCATAACTCCCCAACCAATTGGAGCAGCAACCTCAAATTTGTTCACAGTGTAAACACTGAAGACGGCAATATTTAGACGGAATTTCACTAAAATATGGGCATCGGCTGATTTTTCGCAATCGTTTATTTTGAAACTTGCCAAGCAAATCTCCAAAATTCGTACACATCCACAAAGAAAAATTCGTAACTCCCCAACCAATCGGAGTAGCAACCTCAAATTTGTACACAGTTTAAACACTGAAGACAGCAATATTTAGACGGAATTTCACTCAAATTGGGGCATCGGCTGATTTTTTGCAATCGTTTATTTTGAAACTTGCCAAGGAAATCTTCAAAATTCGTACACATCCACAAAGAAAAATTCATAACTTTCCTTTAGAGTATCGCGAGAACGACGTTCCTTTAGAGTATCGCGACGATCTCAACTTGCCGGTAAGTTCTCAGGTTTTTTTACATCTGGAAGAAAAGATTGAAATTGGAAGATTTTCCAAGAGTGAGCTTTGTTTCACGAAGGGAAATTGATAAGGATCCGAGCAAAAAATCATCAGCCTATTAACTGGCCTATTATGATTACATGATTATGATTATTATGGGACCCTGAAAATCCTAGCATTGGTAACAATTTAAGCGCTCAATGGCAAGGCTGGCGTATTGCCTCTCTTGAATCTTTTATCATGGGAAATTTGTCATTTGTGAAGAAAAATAGCTGTGTTGAGTTCGCAAACCGTCGCACGTAAATTTTTAATCGGATTATCCAGTATTTCGGAGAATTGAATAATTTCAGCTGGAACTTTCCTTAGACTCCACGTGTTTTATGGCCGTTTTGCTCTCAATCGCTGCTCCCATTCGGTTAACTACACGTGTAATGTGAAAATTGACGACTCAATGTTCAATTACCTGTTTAGAATAATCGGGTTTTTTTCCTTTATCAGCATATACGAAAACCAATCACACTTAATAAGTGCATATTACGTGGATTGGCGTAATACATCATAATGGACGCGAAGATTAAACGTTGCTGTTGGGTCTTGAACGCAAATAGATCCGGCAATTGCTCATTCTTCTATGCACTTTATATGCATATGGGCATGAAACTTTCCGGTCGAAGATTCAAATTTTTAAGCCGTGGAAACACGCAATACAGCCCAAGTTCGGGTTTAGCGTTGCAGCTGGCCAAAAACATTTTTTTGCACAACCGCAAAAAATCCATACCTCCCCAACCAAATGGAGTAGCAACTTCAAATTTAAACACAGCGTAAACACTGGATTCAACAATATTTAGACGAAATTTCACTCAAATTGGAGCCACGGCTGTTTTTTCACAGTCGTTTGACTTGTAAGTTGCGACGAATCTTCAAAATTCTTACATTCCCGCAAAGAAAAATTCATAACTCCCAAACCAAATGGAGTAGCAAGTTCAAACTTATAAACAATTTAAACAGTAGATTGAGCAGTGCATAGGCCGATTTTCACTTAAATTAGAGCATCGGCTGAATTTTCACAAACGTTTATTTGTCAACTTGCACAGAAAAGCATCAAAATTATTCTCCGAAAACATGCAGGCTTCCCAAACCTAGGCCTAGAATCTTGCTAAAAACTAGCCAACTAGCAAACGTACGTAATATCTTAGAGATAAATAAATAAAAAAATAAGTAAATAGAAAAATAACGCATCAACTAAATATACTAGCCTCCACTACCAACTACTGCCGTCCGATTTTACCCACGTCGCCCCGATTAACTTTCACCGTGTTTCGTGAAGCGCCATCTGCCTGGCCACTGGCTCGTTCCTAATGTCATCTTGACAAAATCGAAGTGATTTTCCGAAGTAATTTCCAGATTTTCTCAGATTGTTCATATTCAGTGAAATGGCATTTTCCTGCGGGTTCTGAAAATGCTAGAACCCCTCAAATGGTTCCCCGTTAAGCAGTGCGTGATTGCATAGTGAAGCCAGCAGTTGGCCAGTGCTTGAAATCCAGTTACGTGTACCCTGTGGTTTCGTTAACTTTGCCTGTTTATCCAGGACATTTAATTCCTCCACACTTATTTGCCTGGGATTAGGCACATTTGGTTAGCTTCGCGCGGCTTTAAAGATTACGACCCGAAAAGCGAATAAGCACACAAATGATAAGAGGAGACGAGACATGGATTTTGAACTTGAAGTTTTCGAGGTGTATGACGAAAATGAGCCCCACACGTCCAAGAAGCACACCAAACACACCAGGAAGAAATGCAAGCAAAAGGGCAAATGCCCGAAAGGCCTCACAAACCTAGAATGTAGTGAGAATGATATAAGCCGATCGAAAACCAGTGTCCTGAGTGGAGATCGAAGACATTTGAGCCTTCGCGAGTCCATCCTCAATGTCTTCAGCAAGCTGGTAGTGTGGCGAGGGAAGAGTGCCAAATATCGCACCTCCAAGCCCGAAAAACTCGATTCTCCACACACCTCAAGAGATTCACATAAGGGCTATATCCCTTGTGGTAAGTAACAGGACTTTGGAAAATGGCTAATTACCAACATAAAGGTACATGGAATTTCTGGCTTTAAACATCTTTTAAATTGGCCTTAAATATTTATGAATTGATGGCTAATTTAGTGTATTGTAAAATGGGATCCAAGGAAATTGCTGGTAATTGTATCCACTTAGATCTGCGCTGAAATGTCACGCAACATTGTTGAAGCAATTGTGATTATTTTCGCTCACCTAACTGTTCATAAGACGCATTAAACCACACATTATGTATACTGTTGCTCGGTTAAACAAGTCTTTCATGTCCTACATCGTGTGGGAATAAGTAGCAAATTCGTTGTACTGCATAAAAATCACTCAAGTAAATTCTCCTGAATGTTTTCAACCAAATCTAAAATTAGCCGGCTGTTTCAATATTTAGTGTTTTTTCCACAATGTATTACATTGTCTATTTACTGCTGGTTCATGATTAGATGGCGGATGACTCACTTTTCCTTGCAGGAAAGTATTTGACGTCGTTTCTGCTTGATAACACTATTTACTTAGCGCAATCAAACTGAAATACATAACTGCTAAAATATACGTTATTTGATGAGTCATTTTAGCCGGTTCGTTTGAGTTAAAGTTTTGAGTTAAAGCATTGGGTCAAGGCATTTGGAATTTACCTCAAATATTGACCGAGAGCGCTCCATGTAAGAAAACGCGTTTGTTGTCGAAAATTTCCTTCAATCTCAGGGCTGAACCACTCGTTTATGTTGCTTATCTATTGCTTAACGTTGTTCTCATTTCCGTGCACATACCGGTTGCAATTAAAGCTGAAAATGGGTAGAAAGTTTGCGAGAATTACTAAAATCGTGCGAAAAATATGAAAGACTTCCAAATGCAATTAACATAGAGTGCGGCCAATTGGAGGGAGAACCTTTTGATTATTCAGTGTCTTCTCGACAAGGCTGCCAAAAGTCGCAAAATCCAAAAATGTTTCGGCTGTATGAACCACTCATCTTCAGGGGCA